AATACAGTAATTCTACCACGATGGCGCAGAATTCGCAGACACAGAAGCCAAAATGGGGCGTGGGTTCTTTTTTCCAGCAAGCAGTAGCCGGCGTCGAATCTCGGCTGGATCACATCTTGATGGATGACGAGGGAAATCAGACTGGCTCTTCTGCAAAGCCCACTGAAACTCAAGGCGGAGAAGCGTCACCGACAAAGGCACCTGTTGCTTGTATGAAATCCACAACACTTATGCGAACCAATAGAACTGGCTAACATCTTTCAGCGGTTTCCCGCAGTTCATCGACCGCGCGAAGAAACGACCGGCTTCAGGAACGTCTAGCCCGAGCTATGGTGAAGCAAAATGCCTCGAATCTCTCTTCCCGGTCTCCTCAGAGCCGAATCTCATCACCGCCTGCTAGTCCAGTACCCAGCAATGGAGCTCGGTCGAGTATGGACATTGATTCTAGTGTTGCATCGGTGAATAGTGCGGTGGAAGATCCCGAGGTCTCTCAGTCCAATGACGACAGCAGCACCGCTAAATTAGCCTCACCAAGGGTAAGCTATGACTCTGGGGCATCACCGCGTGTTTCAATGGACATCAGCGTCGCAGACTCTGCGCCCAGGAGCTCTATAGATGTGGCACAACCATCAACGGCCTCGGCCAAAGCCAGTCAAGAAATGCCGGATTCGCAACGCAATGAAGTACTGAGTGAGATTGCGTCGCGCGATAGTCCGCGGGTTAGCATTGAATTGCCATCAGAGATGCCAGTGGAAGCTGAAAACGCGGATATCGCTCGCTTGCAGGCCGAGCATAAAACTGCCGAGTCTCAATGGCAAGATGAAATGCATGGTTATATTGAACGTATTGATGCATTGCAATCGAAATTGAAATACCTCGCCAAGGACGCTGCGGAATCGGCTAAAAATGCTGCGGCAAGTGCTACCCCAGGGAGTGCGCAAAAGCAGCTCCTAGAGAAAGATGAGAAGATTGCATTGCTTCTCGAAGAAGGGCAGAAGCTGTCTAAGTCGGAGATGGACCATCGCACGGTGATCAAGAAATTGCGTCAGCAACTTACCGAAAACACCAAATCTCAGACTGAATTGAAGAGAAAAACGGACAAGCTTGAGCGGGACTTGGTCAACTCGGAAGCACGAGCGAAGCGGGCAGAGGCCGCGGAGAGGAGGGCAACCGAGTCTTTGTCATCGCAAACAAAGTCGACTAAAGACTTGGAAGCTGTTACCAATGAACGCAATGCGCTCAGCCAGACTGTCCAAGAGATCAAATCGCAATTGAGTCGTGCGATTTCCCGCGCCGAAACCGCTGAGACAAAGGCGAACTCCGATGCCCTAGAGCTGGAGAAGCAACGGGCGACAGAGCTAGACGAGGAGCTATGCAACCTGAAGATCGAGCGCGACATCAGTGAAGAAAAGTCCAAGAGGGAAATTACCGAGTTGAAAGAGAAGATAGAGCAAGAGAAAGAAAGGGCTCGAATGCTCGAGGCCGAATTGAAAGGCGAACAGTCTGTCTTAGAAAGCAAGATGGAAAGTCTTCGCTCCCGCGCCGAGGAAGCTTCATCGGGGGCAACGGGAGAGACGCAAGCCAAACTTCTGCGTCAAATCGAGACATTGCAAACTCAATATGCCGCCGCTAGTGAAAACTGGCATACACTAGAAGGCTCTTTGCTCTCACGCCTGGCTAGTGCGGAGAAGGAACGCGATGATGCTGGTCGACGTGAGATTGACCTTCGCAAGAAGATTCGAGAGATGGTAAGATCTCAAACTCCATGGCTTAGTGCACCGCGGGATTAACCAACATCAATGTAGAACCACAAGTTAAAGAAGTTTGAAGAGGAACTAGACAATGCCAAAGAAGCCGAGCACGACTTGGAAAGCAGGCTTGAGGAACGCATGGAAGAGCTGCAGAAGCTGCAACAGAAACTCGAGAAAGCGGCAGAGGACCTCGCCTCGACGCAAAAAGATATGGCCGAGCAGAAGAGAACATGCGACGCAACGTGGGCGCAAAAGCTAGAGGAAGAACGGACCAAGTGGAGAGAGCAGGTGAATTCCCCGTCACAACTGCGTGGAGTATCCCCCGTTGCATCTCTACGGCGATCGAGCACCCTCGACGCCATAACCCCAGGGCTATCGGACTTCCGCCCTCCTAGCCGGCGCTCATCTACTATGGCTTTCACCTCACCGGAAATTGGCACGCCGCCTCGGCAAAACTCCTACCCTGCCTCAATCACCCAAGCTACGCTTTCTCCCCCGCACATCAACACCAATCCATCGATCCTTGCAGCACCCTCCATCAGCTTTGAGCCGGAAGAGTACTTCGAAGATTCTGCCACTCCTGCCACTCCTTCAGCATACGGCGGTACCCAAGCACCTCCATCGCGCGGTATCAACGACATCATCTCCGAGTCAACCGTCGGTGCCGGCCCTTCTGTGCAGCTGGTCGAGCGCATGAGTGCCACCGTCCGCCGGCTAGAGAGCGAGCGCGCTGGCTCCAAGGACGAACTAGCCCGCGTGACGACCCAGCGCGACGAAGCCCGGCAACAGGTTGTGGACCTTATGCGTGAGCTTGAAGAGAAGCAGCTCTCGGATTCCCGCGTGCATGAACTCGAAGCTGAACTCGAAGACCTTGACCAGCGCTACCAAACCACTCTTGAAATGCTAGGCGAAAAGAGCGAGCAGGTTGACGAACTAAACGCTGATATCGCTGATCTCAAGAAGATCTACCGCGAGCTGGTTGACAGTACCATGAAATGAGGGCGAACTGGTTAGATGTTTATCTACCATTTAGTGAGCCACCAGAGGGTCGCTTCTCGGCTTGGGTCTTTCATGCTTAGACTTATGCCACTCGGGTTTGTAAATAGAATATATATCCTGTCCTGTACAAATTAATCGATGTCATACAACGAATTGGCTTCTACATCACAGCGCACCTTCCCATTTAAGCGGAGCAGCCATAAGTGCCCCGGGGCTGAGGCCATTTTGAATTCGGAAAATGAGACTTGCAGGCGAGATTGGAGCTCGCGGTAATTTCCAAGAGAAATACTCGTATTATCCAAAACGTGCCTTGGTGATTAATTTCGGATGTCGGCAATACTATGAGCGCATTTCTTCAGGGTGTTCCACTTTCTCTCAAATTTGCTACAAATAAACATATCAGGAAGATGAGGAATGCACCGAGTTCCCAGTGTCCGGCCTAAACTGCACCAGCTGCTGAGAGCTTTCGGCCTGCTTTCTATCCCAACTCGCAAGAAGGACGTTAAGCAGTTCGTTGGCGACACCCAACAACAAGAAAATTGCAATAACCTGTCCAAATGTCCACCCTTTCTCTTCGGGGTCAAGGTTGTTGCGATGGATAGTCTGTTCAAGCGAAACAATCAAGTATATGCAGAATGAACAGTACGCGACCGTGGTCAGTGTGAAGTTGAGCAGCGCCTTGCCGTGCAGCCTCTCGGGTGGGTCAAGACGATCTTGATAAACAGGATGCTTGACCTCCACAAACCAGCTCATCCAACCTCTTTTCTGGCCCTCAATCCGGTTTCCAGCGTCGGGATTCCGCCTCCGATACGCAACGTACCCACACAGACACGGCAACATACACGTGAAAGTAAGAGCACAACCAGCCACAATTGCACCCAACGTACCCAGAATGATGTACCGGAATACAGGAGAAGTGGCTTTGATGCTGACACCAAAGATCACATACACCGTATCCTTGTTGCACTGAGGCTGGCTGCCAAATTGCGGCGCCTTCACCCAGACATAAACGTTGAAAGCGAGGAAGGCCGCCAAAGCCAGGAGCTGGATCGCGGAGAAGAAATACAGTCGCCATGGACCGAGTCCTGCATACCGGCCTTTGCTTACCATATTCATGCCAAGTATGGCGAGAAGGTGCACAACGCATATCGCGTGGAAGAGTGTTAGGTCGCCCCGAAATGTCTGGTAGATTGCTGTGCAGAGGAGGGCTAGGCCTTGCATGCCGAGGGCGGAGGAAACGCCACGCGAGAACTCTTCTTGATCTTCGCCTGGGGCAAACACGCGGAGTAGATAGCTGGTGATTGACCCGCCTAGGCAGAGGGCGTAGATCGATATACGGATCTGTGTGGGTAATAGCTTAGCTGAGGGTTCCTTCAAGGTAGGGAGCTAGATTGTGATAGCATGAAAGTTATGGCATATGAGATGATACTTACTCCGACCCCAGATACATCGGGGTTAGCCTCGATGACACATGTCGTTGAGTTCATCTTGTGCTGCACGATGATCGTTGTAACGACTTTCCAAGCGATGAGCTAACGGTGGCCTGCGTGGAGGGGTGAGACGCTCTATATCTTAGCCTCAGTTCAATTATCCATAGCTCTTACAGTCCTCGATGGGGCTCTCTCGATTCACATGACGAAAGGGCAAAGGAAAGGAAAAAAGGAAAAAAGCATGTGCCCGGGCACGAAAGTGGCTAAGCAGTAGCATTGCGCCACGACACCCTGCGATCACCAGTCAAAAACATCAAGTCTTCACGGTTTGGTAAAGACAAAAAAGCGGCTGAGTCTGCCAAGATGATCTTGATCGCACTGGGATTGGGTCGCCTGGGTATGCCCCATGTGGCGCCCGAACGATGCTTACTGCCGCTAAGGCCGAATTAGGGCTGGTTAAAGAACGCCAGGGACCAAGTCTCGGTAAATGAGCTCCTTGATTGGTCAATCGGGAACTGTATATTCAAGCTACTGCAGCCCTTCGTTTAATGCTTCGTGATTGACCCCGTTTCAGTGAGAGATAAACAGGGCCTTGAGCTTTTTCAGCCTCTCCCAGCGTCATCCGTATGACCCCCACGAGGCTTTTGGCAGTGAGAAATGGGGAGCTTGCCTATCTATAAAGTCTTGGCCAACAAATCCAATTTTCCTATAAGACAACTACTCTCATTCTCAGTGCTAGGCATAAATTCCGACCTTGTGAATCGTCACTAGTTCTATTACAGTCCATGAATCGAGCTGGTTGTTGCTAACAATTCTCACCATGGATATGGACAATGTCAACCGTCCTGCTATCAACAGTAAGTCCCAATTTTCCTACCCATGAACCCTAAGCAAATCGAGATTAATCCCTCATTCCGATTTCATCATGTTTCAACCCAATATTTACTTACTTTAGTATGGACGTTCTTCGCCCTGGCTGCCTTGGACGTCGCAGTAAATGCCGCCGCTGGTCCAGCTGCAGTGGCGACTGCCGCGCATGTCAATGGGAGTCCACTGACAGCGAGAGCAATGCAAATCGGTGCTCTCGCTGGAGTTACTAAATCAGGGGTGTTGGCGTTTGTCGAATTCGCGGGGTTCGCGGGCTTGCCAACTCCGGCGTGGATACTGTTAATTCTGGTAGCAAGTTGCTTTGGGATTTGTGTCCTGGTGACAGCAGAAGTTAGCAATTTGGTTCTTGGAGAAAGTGAGTGAAGGCCCGTCCTCTGAAGTATCGTTCGGTTTGAACTCTATGCGATGCGACTTGAGTTGGTGGTTATGATTATGAGGTATCGGGTGATCGTAGCTAACGGTAGATAGCACCAAGCGCGTTGCTTATTGCGGCTGTTGTCGCTGCTATTCCGCTTGCAGGGGAGTGCATGGGGCTATATCAATGTAAGTCCATTTTCTTCGCTTGCAGCTCTCCATTGCTAATCTTGATTTGTATCTCAGCGGCTGGGGGCTATATGGTAGCAAACCTCAGACACAACTTTGTATTATGGGCTTCGATGCTTTGGGAGGATACGTCTTTGCTCGTATGGCACATAACGAAGGTTAGTTACTGCCTCTCCCTTATCATGAAAGCTTTGGGGGCTACTCTCTTCGCTGTTCTTGATGCATTTGGTGAGGTATGATTTGACTAACACTTGAAATGTGGACTTTAAGGTTATGATATCTGCGCTTACAATGTTGCTGCTGCCGCTGGGGCTGTATATGGTGTCATCACTGGTTTCTTCCATGTTATCCTTGGGTGTATGGCCGGATTTACCTCCTATGAAAGCACAAATGGACATTATGAAATACGCAATGTCTTTGGGACTGCGCGAGGGTATAACCCCAATTGGAATAATAATATCGGGGTTTGATTCTAATATGAAGGGGACTCTTCTCTTGTCTGCACGCCAATGTTTGGGGCCTTTCTATAATACCCTTGTGGGACGAAGCCTTGAAATATACGAACACGAATTCTGATTCAACATTCCATATGGTTTATTATTCTGATCTTGAAGTCCCTAAGGTTCTCCGCATCATGCGCTCACTTCGCCGAGTCGAAAGAGGCACATTGGTCACTTTCGTTATGCCGCGCAACACTTCACAACGCAAGTCACACATAACTACTTCCAAGGTTAGAATTCCCATGTGCCTCATCTGGGATACTTAGATGCTCTCGCACCAGCTTTCCCCATTCAAAGATCAATTCGTCTTACGTGAAATCCAAAGCGAATGCATTTCTTTTAGTTCTTTGATATTGAAGTGATGAAGGCCACGTATCCTCGGCCCTCGAGTGTTTAGATGGTAGGGTAGGGACAGACAGTGGGAGTTGATCTATAATATGAATGAGTGAAGGGGACGATGGGGGTTATACTCGCTGGGGACGTCGCGCCTTCCAGATGATTTCAATTGCCTAATTAGGCCACAGTTGTACGCAGGTTGGGAAGGAACAACAATAGGGTTTGGGCTCTCGTCATTTAGATCTCCCAGAATCATATTAGAACTGGTAACTGATGGACGAGACTGTCAGGTGTCCCATAGAAAAGGTTTGAGATGGCTTGGATAATCATATTCTCATTGTTTGTCGTGGGTCCACATGCAGTACAAGCTTTCTCGCATGGTTCACCTCCCGTGGACAGGGTTTGAGGTTTTGAAAGACAGTACAGAGTAAATCTGTAAAACCTAAGATGCGTTTGGATTAGGGATCAAGGAGAGGGGGACAAGGCTGCGAAAGGAAAGTACCGAGGCCCTGGTACATAAACCCTGCTCCTATTGTCACCACCATACCTATAAAAGTCAGGATGCGGGAATGATATCCACGGGTGTGTGAGCCAAATATTGCACCCAATAATCTAGGAGCCCAGCATGACTCTGCTTTATTTTGTTCAAAAACAAAGTATAAACAGCAAGGGCCCCTGAAACAGCGTGGATGCAGCATCGAGACATCTAGCCGCCCGATGGATCCAAATATTTTCAACTGCTTCTAATGATAGAACGGCAGTGGCTGGGATTTGAACAAAGTCAGAAGATCATTGATCGCCGAACGGGCGCAAGCTATGTTATCAAGTCTTTGAATGTGAGACAAGATCAAATGTGAGACATCATCTAGACTAGAGGGAGTGGAGCAAACGGGGGGTGCATAAGCCGCCTTTTCTTTATTGACGTGCAGGTGGACTGAGACAGCTACAACATATCTTGACTACTTACTCCATACGGAGCCGGAGCCGATTGTGTTAAGATTAAAAGTTAAGTGCATATGCTTTGGATATAGTGACCCAAAATATCCCCAATTCATCCCTAAAAATTAAACATTAAATAACCAAAGTGATATAATGTACTCCGTACTACTTACTCTACATAACACTAACTCCGAACTCTGAGTTGTCAACTCTGTCAGCGACAGCTAGGGTGGACCCTGATGGACCAGCCCTACACATTTTAGAACCATTATTAATTTCACACAATATATCAAGCCACCTCGTATGGCTATTTTTGTATCACCGTTGCCGGGATCATAACGTCCAGGCTAATTTTCCTACATATATTGTACTCCGTGAGACCAGTGAAACAGTTGTCTCCATAGGGGATAACACGGCGCAAGTCCCAGAAGTTGCATAAACGCCCCGTACTCCGTACTCCGTACCCCCTAAAACCCTTATAGATCGATAAGGGGTTGATGACACAATGATTTTATAATGTTTAATATTTTCAGACCCTAGTCTTAAATAAGCGTAGTGTGATAATTAATTAGTGCTGAGCCTTTTCTTCACGCCACGGGAGATTGAGAAGTATACATGGACATCGATGTACAACTTAGAGTTGAATCCTTCAGGCCTGAGTTGGAGCAAGGAGCACATGATTGTCCAATCAGTCCCAGGCGCGAAAATAATCCATACGGAATGCAGTAAGTAATGTTTTTTCAGGTGGGGCCTGGAGCAGCAACTTGGGATTCAACTCTGGACAAAAAATGGAGTAATGTCACATCAGTGGACTGTAGGGAGTACGGAGCATAAACTACAGTCATATTGGTCAACTTCCTGATGTGACACGATGCAGGAGCAGGTTCTTTAGCACCTAGGCGCTTAGCCCGTTGAAGCAATACATGCCGGTCCACGCGCTGGTCCGAGTGTCTGGCGAGACGCTGTGTCGATCGACATCTCACTTTGATTGGACACAGCTTAGTGGTCAGCGTGTAGTATTGAATTCAGCACGTTCTTCTGCCAGGGAATAACTTTGGTCTTTTCATAAAATTGAGAAGCTTGGACTAGAGACGGAGCTCCCAAAGGGGAAAAGGGGCAACATGTCCACAGTTGGAGATGATTTTTTTAGGACCCCTTAATCTACTGCAGACAATTAAATATGTGGGTATTAGATATGTACACATTGAGTTCAAATTTCCATACAGAGTACGGAGTAGGTGGAGTTATCTACAAAAACTAGATGGAATACATAATTTGAATCTACTGTATAATAGTGAAATAGCACTTCAGATGTACGCTGACACCGACAAAGTAAATACCAAAAGGTAGAATAAAGTACTCAAAAGTACTTCTCAGTATTTAAAGATAAGTAAAGTTACAGAAAAGTACAGAAAGGTACATGTTCGGTACAGGGCGACAAGGCTACCCCTGAATTGCCAAGCATTAGCCCGGGCCAACCTCTTCATCTCCACGACTCAAGGGGTTCTTTGTGCCACTTGACACTATTGAATGTTCTATTTTCATATTTTGAACCGCGTCACCATATACTCCATATACTCCGTACAGAGTAATTCCATATATTGATACAGTATAGAACATCTTACGGTGGCCGGACTATCAATGAGGATGTCAACCCTATCACTACGCTTCATAGTAGGTTCAAGTGATGTCGATCCTACCGGCCAGAGCACCATTGCACGATGTATCGTACCAATCGAATCCATGCAAGTCCAGACCCACGCCAGCCCCCCTGCGCTCCACCCACGCTTACTCGTCCCGAAGCCAGCGCTAATGAAATGGAGAACCCACGGGCGGTTTGCGCCAATCGCCCCGGCTTGTCCTAGACCAAGACTTTCTCCTTTTCTCCCATTTCCCTTCTCGTTTGATATTATCCTGAGAATAATCCTTACCCTTTTGGTCGTCTCATTGGCGCGTGCCATACCCTTTCCCGTGCTAATCGGCATGAACGACCGTCGATCTATGGCTATTTTTTGATACGGACCAGGGTGTTTCATGGCGTCTCCTGTTGGGTCTGGCGGCTCTCCCGCCCATTCAGAGAGCTACTCTAGTTTTAATCCCCCTCCAACTACTCCTCCAGTGCGAAGGAAACCTCTCCCGCACAATGGTGATCCAGTGACTTCGGGCCCTGACCACCCCTCCTCTCCCATTTCGTTCGAGGGAGATAAACCCACCTCAGTTCCCACTGCACCCGTGGCCAGACCACTATCCCCTTTATCAGTGGATGGAGACTCATATATATCGGTACAAAAGAACCCCAATAGGTACGCGACTAGCATGACCCCGGTTTTTCCTCTCCCGGCTCTTTCTTCAGACCCTCCTTTTCTTTCCCCGGCTACCTACCTTGTACCCGCCAAGCATGATATGGCCTATACATGATATTCCGCTTCTCCACAGTCTGGAAGGCTAATCGCGTGCCCCTGTCCCAACTCCCCAGATATTCCCGAGGACGGAACCCTACCCAACCCCTACACATCGATACCGCCGCTTCCCGCCACGGCTCCGCCTCATACTTGAGATCCGTGCTTGAGGACGACGACGACGACGAAGACGAGGATCCCTCTTACTTTGACGAAGAATACGAACATCAGTATCAGTTCATGAATGGAACGCCCCTACACAGTCGTCTAGATAGCGAACCATTCATCCCGGTCCTCAAATCCCCTCCTCCAACGAAACGATCGTCACGACGGGCAACGAGCATGGCAGTACATGCACCTATGAACAGGCCACCTCCACTACACATCGACGTCGATCCGCGTTCTATATCAATGTCAATGGGTTCGGGAGATCCACGACACCCCAAAACCCCTGGTAACAAGATCAGCTCCTTCTTTGGCTGGAAGGCGGCGAATAGTAATACAACTACATCCCCTGGGGGCGAATCATCAAGCACTGAGATCTCCGACTCCGGTCGATCAGCAATGCCTTCCCCCATGCCACCATTAGCAAACGTCCCTTTCAAACCCGGATCCCCATACGATTCCAAGACCAATGGATATGGTCTTCCGGCACGGACCCCTTCACTGGGGGCTTCGAGTTTAAAGGAAAATATATTTATGTCCAAAATGGCAGACATAGAGAATGAATTACGAGAGATAAGCTCCGAATTGGCGGGATCTATCCGCCGAGAAATGGATTTGGAGGATCTAGTCGAACGGCTACAATTAGAAGGTCCGGACATCAATCGACGGACAAGTGACTATTTCTCGGATTCGGGTACTAGCTCTGTTCGCTACGCCTCAGATGCTGGGAAGAGTGAAGATATCGAAAAGATTCGCCGCGCTGCAGAGCAAGAACGGGCACAGCTCAAGGTCGAATTATCGCAGAAGTTACAGGAAGAGCGGTCCCAACGGTTGGCATCAGAGTCACATGTTCAAATCCTGGAATCTCAAGTTCAACAGGTACGGCTGGCAAACTATGTGCAACATACGACTCCTGCTAACATTTATCTAGCTTCGACGCGAGAGAACGGATTTGTCCGATTTGTCGTCGAAAACTAAGGAACTCGAGACCGCCCTGGAAAATACCAAGCGGAAGCTGCTCGAGGAGCGACAATCCAAGGATAACTTCGAGGACCTACTTACTGCCATGCGAGTAGAGTTGGAACAATTACGGAATGATCGTGATCAACTTCGAGACGACAACAGGCTCATCGAGGAAATTGAAGCTTTGAAAATCGAAAATGCCTCTTTGGCTCAGCTACAGGGTGGTCGATTCGCTTCCATCGCCGAGGAAGGTAGCTCACCCAGAAACTCGGCATTTGGGGTATCACGATCGAGCTCCATTGCACGCAAGCCCAGCGGCTTAGCTCGCTCGGGTTCGCTTTCTCGGTCCAACTCGGTCAATAATAACAACGGTGGTAAATCATCAGAAACGCGTGAATCATTGGTTGATAAGGTCCACGATATCGAGGTTCAACGTGATGCCCTCCACCGGACATTGCGTAGCCTCCTCGACCGCCAGGCATATCAGGCCCGCGAGTACGAGAAGCGCACTCGTATGCTCGAAATGGAGCTTGCTCAAGCCCGGCAATCGGGGCAGCCACGGAAACTGGGCTATGAGAGAGATGTGCGTAATCTGCGTGACGAGGTGAATCATCTCCGCATGCGCGCTGAGGATGCCCTGGATGGCAAGTGGCAGTGTGAGAAGAACCTCGCTGGTCTCAAGATGGATCTGGACCGTGCGGAGCAGGAGACCAGCTCTCTACGCGCGCTTCTTCTCGAGGACACTGCCGCTGGTGCAGAGTTGATGACCGGCCAAGAAGGGTTTGCCGAGGTCGTGACCACCTCCTCTTCCCTACAATCTGCATTCCAACAATTGCAGGCGGATCAATCTGAGGCTTCGGCGGATGTTGCGGACTCGGAAGAGCTTGCTTCCTCCCTTCTCCGTACTGAAGCATTGGGCAGCAAAGTTCATTACCAGCTTCAGACCAACTCCTCTTTGCATGCCCGTCTAGCAGCAGCCATTGATAAGGGAGACAAAGATCAGCAGATCTCTGTTGAACGGATTAATATTCTGCAGAACCACATGAGGGAGCTAGAGGAAGATCTTTTGGTTGCGCAAAACCATTCGGAAGAAGAGATGGCCAAGCACGAGGACGAGATTCGTTTGCTGAAGGAAAGCCAGCATGCCCAGCTCACGCGTATGATGAATGGCGGTCGCAACCTAGTCGGCCTCTCGCCACGGCCGCCGAACGCACCATTCGATTCCCGCTCGCCGCGTCTTGATCAGACCACAAGCGGTGAGGGTGTACCCTTGACCGAGGTTGTCCAGTCTGAAATCCTCGAGCGGCGAGTCAAAGATCTCGAGAAGCTCCTCCGTGATGCTGATATGGAGATGGAGCAAGTGGTTGGACGGATGAACCGCACACAGCTCGATGTGGCTCAGCTTCAAACTGACAGGTATGCAATTCGTGTTTCGTCTGATATTCCTTGCTTCCATCCCATTTACTAACTCATCCCACAGAGACGACGCTCTACGCCAGACCCGTCAACTTCAGACCGAAATCCAAGCTGAGCGTGAGGCCCTCAGAGGGCTTATCAACGCCCTGTAAATTTGACGAATCTCGCGCTTTGTCCTTTTCTAATATTTTACTATACCACATCTGCATTTGCATTTGCGCTCCCATCGTCCGCGATGGTAGAGTACAATATCTTGGAGTTAGCCCGGAGTACCGGGTTTTTGTTTTGGGTTCTTTTATGAAGATCATGCCTGTGGCATCGCGCTGGCCTCTTCCCTGACTTGGGCTCGGGGCGTTTTGTCTTTTACATTCACGAGACTGGTGGTCGACTATTATTGGTCGCACATGTATATAAAACCCGTCTCTATTTGGGTAAATATCTAATCTAGTGTATAGTATCATTTGTTATCAATTTGATATTCATGAAAAGTATCGAGATCAGCTGAGAGTATTGAATAAGTGAGACTCATGGACCCAAATAGAGGATCTCTTCACATGCGATGTTTGTTTAGTTTGCATCCTCTTATCATTCGGGTGCCACGCCGCAACTTGGAAACCCCAGCTTGAATGTCACATTCGCTTCTTGGCCTGTCTATCATTGATCGCATCGGAATATATACCCCCAGAAGCAAGCTCTTCTAGTCTCCGCTTCAGTTGACGCCTAACACATTTACCAAAACCCTTCATCGACCTGGTCGCATTGCTCAACTACAAACAACGAGCTCCAGCACGAGACCAAACAAAGCGCCCTCGAGTCAAAGAACCCACACTCTGACTATTAAAAGGCCAGGGTATTCTTTCCCTGCCTCGCATCGGCGGTCCTTTCGAAGACATCCATTTTCAAGGGTCACAAAGACCTAAATTTCTTAAACAAAGCGCCAGCAAGTCTAAAGAAGACCACCGACCTGACACGCGAGGGACATCTCTCTCTCCCTCTCTGGTCTCTGTCTCTCCCTTGTCGACCACGTCAACAAACATACTCAAAGACACAGCGATCATGGACTTCTTACCAGGTATCTACCTCACCTACTTTCAAGCCATAGAGATACGAAAACCGCAGTGCAAAGTCCCACAAGCTAACCAATCCTTCCACCGACACAGAGAACCTCCAAACAGTCCTTCAGAATCCTGCATTCACCTATCTCCAAACAACAACACAGGACCAGCTCACAACAAAACTCTCGCACCTACGTACAATGGTGCTCCAACCATACCTAATCGAGCCCTTGTCGAGTTTCCTCGCCTCCTACTCCTCCTCCATCCCAGACCTGCTCTCAGTATTCATCCTCCTCATCATACTCTTCGTCTCCGTTAAGATTCTAGGATACGCCTACCGCGTGGTCATGTTCTGGGTCACACTCGCTTTCAGGCTTGCCTTCTGGGGCACGATTATCGGCATCGGCTACTATGTCTACAGCGTCGGTGTTGAGAATGCGAGCAGGGATTTCGGGTGGCTTTCTGGTGTGATATATGGATTTGTGAACGATTTCCAGGAAAAGAGTAAGATCGCTGCGGCGGCTTACGCGGGGAACCCCAAGTAGGGTGGTTTGGTTTGGTTTATTGGATGGGGTTGTGTAATTGGAAAAATTGAGGATGTTTGTGGTATTCAAATCCTCGGATTCTTACTGTCTTTTATCCCAGGCTGGCATGCCTGTTTGGGGGTATATGATGAAAATGCGCAATGGGTCTGCCTGTTTCTTTACTTCATCCCGCTAAATTGGGCTAGCGATTAACGACTTGTTTTGGAGTTCTAGACATCATAATACTCATGAATTGTTTGGGTTTCATTATAGTTTCATTATGATTCTGTTATCTGGGGATATGACCGAATATCCATTTGCTGTGTACAGAGCTCTCAACTCTGACTCTGGTAGCATCAGCCACGGTTGTGTCGTAAGTATGGTTGATTTCAGATGCCGAGGGAGCTCCAATGCTGCGTAGGTCGGCGCGATAAGCATATTGGAACGTTTCCAATGTTGTAATACCGGCCGTATGATAGCAATGTGAGATTAAAAATGCACTTTGTCTCAGACTGCTCCGCTGCGGGAAACTTGAGGCTGCTGCATGAGGTGGCATTGGGTGAAGTGGTCGGTCGTGGGGGGTCTCGAAGAATATGCAGAAATTTTGACTTCAAGTCACAGCGCTGCAGTAATCACGTGTGATATCCCTCAATCCTCATAGTCCACCTCAACTGCATCCTTGGGTTCTCTCGGTTCCTGGGCCTCATGGTACTGGATAGCATCGTCGATATGGCTCACAATCGCCGCGACGCTGTCCTCATCCGAGACATCCAATTGCAAGAATGAAACCATACTGAAATCGTCGATCAACTGTCCGACAGCCCGGTTAAGCTGCTTGAAAGACCCGCCGCTCATCAGGGATTCCGCAGCCATTGGGTTTGCACTTGCAGTGAGATCGTCCTCTTCCTTCTCTTGCAGCAATTGCACATCCACGTTGGTAAATCGTTTTAATTCCCGGCGTGTCACCATATCACGGACTTGGTCCATCTTGCTGAGAATGTTGACGTGTGGCATCTCCATCATCAGCATGGCAGACATGGCGCTGAGTGTACCGGCAAAGAATTTGGCTTTATCGATGACAAATGTACTTTCGAGTAGGTAGGCAGCACACATGTTGATATTCAACGGACCCTGTCGGGAAAGGAATGTTGTGAGGGTTGGTAGAAGAGGAATGTGTGTGTAGAGCTCGATTTGGCCGGGCATGTCGAAGATGATCAAATACTCTTCACTCAATGGCTCCAATGCCTCAGATAGGAATTCCAGGTTTTGGAGTAGGAACTCGAAACAGTAGATGAGACCTCCATTTGGTCCTAGGCCCATCTCTTCCATCACATCTTCCAAAGTGATCAGGTCACGAATATCGAGATCTGGTTCGTAGGCAAATGTTTCCGCGGCGGGGTCGAGGTTCACGTAGAAACAGCTACGGCGAGTTGTTTGAAGGTGTTGAATTATCGCATTGCTGAATGTGGTTTTGCCTGCACCTGCAGGGCCCATTACCAGGACACCGAATTTGGACATGGTTGTATATCGGATAGAAAGTATAGAAAGTACAAAAAAAGCACTTCAATGCTCTTCTATCTTATCACAAGAAAATTGCATTGCCCGGGTAAACTGCCCAAGCTCACCGCCCCCCGATGGCGCGATCACGGGGGCTGACAAGGGACAAGAAGTACCGCGTACGGAGTACAACGAGGGTACTTGAGGGTACAGTGGCGTTGCATGAGTATTTGCACCCCAGTACCTCGGAAGGCTTAGGCCCCACTTATTTTCTGCCGTTTAAAACTTCTCATTTAGAAACACCTAACTAACTAGCTAGTAACTAGTATGCCAACCTTCGTATTTAATAACCTCTTCCACCCGGTGCGGCATAGTCTCTGCTAAATTTACAAAGTGGTGCACTGTCAGATTCTCCCATGCATACTGCGCTGCATCTACTAGCTCGGCCCAGGTCTCCTGATTATTAGGCATCTCTCGTAACCAAGGCCTTAGCCTTAAGATATCTGCCTTTAATAACGCCCAGAGGTTCTCAATCGGGTTTAAATCAGGTGAATAAGGAGGCCAATCCATAACATTTACACCTATCTCGCGTAGTAGTTCTTGAACTATATACGCAGTGTGTGTAGGTGCGTTATCATGTTGGAAGATAGCATCTTCATTTGCAAGTAAGGTAGGAAGGATACCACGGTAGAGACTATAAATAACCTCTTTTGTAATACCCTTCCGCTCTGCATTTGGATCTCCGTATAGAGGAATAAGGCCAGTTTTCCGTGGAGCACCTGAGAAATAGGCCCAAAACATCTGTTTTGACTGCTTCCCTTTCGAGAGTGTCATTTGAATACCGGAATTCCGATTTTGAAGCTGATCTTTAGGAGGAATAAAAGTCCACTCCTTCCGAGCACCTTGTCCACGTTCAACTGTAGTCTCATCCGACCAAAAGACCCTTTTCCAGTCCTCAGGTGTAAAGTGGCGATAGGTAAGGGCCCAATTAAGACGTTTTGCAGCGTGAATAGGCGTAAGATAGGGTCGATTCATCTTCCGCCATTTTCGAAGGCCCATTTCGTGGGTTAAACGCCAGATTGAGTGCGCTTTAACCTTATAATCGACCTCAGCAAGTAGATCCTCACGCGTAATATCAGGACGGGACTGAATAGCATCATACACACGATCTCGGTCCTCTTCAGTAAGCTTCCTTGGACCACCAAGGCGAGGCATTGAGATACCATGGGAGCGCTTTGTTTCCTGGCGTAAGGTGTAATGAATAGTTGAAAGAGGGATATGAGGGTACGCGTGCTTTTGAATACGTTTAGCACCCCATTTTGCTGAGCGTTTTAGCTCACATATACGCTCGCGAACGTGCGGTGGAAGCTCTGGGCCACGGGCCATAGTAGTAGAGTATAGAGAAAGAGTTAGAAAGGTAAAAAAAATAGGAAGAAGAGGGGGTAATAGCCTGTATAATACTAGTATACTGCGCGCTGCGCGTAGTCGCGTAGTATACTAGTAGGAATAGGTAGGCGGTATAGAATAGCGGTGAAGTGACGGAAGTACTGGGGTGCAAATACTCATGCAACATGACTGTACTTCGGTAGTACCTGACCAGTCCCCCACTCACACTATCTTTTCTTTGGTACCGTCTATGTAACTCGAAAAAAAAAAGCAAAACCCCACCAAATTCCCCCTCCCCAATAGATCTTCCTCCCTTTTCCTTTCCTCTTCTCTCTCCATTCTTCTTTCCCCCATTTTTTTCCCTTGTCAATTTCCGTTTCTTCACACACCGTCACAATGGGTTCTGTTTCAAACAGTGGCACTTTCCTCTTCACCTCCGAGTCTGTCGGTGAGGGTCACCCCGATAAGATTGCGTGAGTTATATCCCCTAAAACCTCGTTTCTACCCTCGGAGGGTTATGAGACGGGGTTTACACCAATTCCAATCGGCACAAGTATTAATCCATCCATAGTGATCAGGTTTCCGATGCCATCCTCGATGCCTGCCTTTCTGAGGATCCCCTCTCCAAGGTCGCTTGCGAGACTGCAACCAAGACTGGTATGTTGATCAATGATTACTTTAGGCCAGATCTCAGTCTGACATGTTACACTAGGTATGATCATGGTCTTCGGTGAGATTACCACCAAGGCCCACCTGGACTACCAGAAGATCATCCGTGGCGCTATCAAGGACATCGGTTACGATGCCTCCGAGAAGGGCTTTGACTACAAGACCTGCAACGTCTTGGTTGCCATTGAGCAGCAGTCCCCCGATATCGCTCAGGGTCTTCACTACGAGGAGGCTCTTGAGAAGCTCGGTGCTGGTGACCAGGGTATCATGTTCGGCTATGCCACCGACGAGACCCCTGAGCTCCTGCCCTTGACTGTCATCCTTTCCCACAAGCTTAACGCTGCCATGAAGGCCGCCCGTAATGATGGCTCCATCCCCTGGTTGCTCCCCGATACCAAGACCCAGGTCACCATTGAGTACGCCCACGACAACGGTGCCGTCAAGCCTCTGCGCGTCGACACCGTCGTTGTCTCTGCCCAGCACAGTGACGATGTCACCACTGAGGAGCTCCGTTCTGTCATTAAGGAGAAGATTGTTCGCAAGGTCATCCCCGCCGAGCTCCTCGATGACCGCACTGTCTACCACATCCAGCCCTCCGGCCGCTTCGTCATCGGTGGTCCTCAGGGTGATGCCGGTCTCACTGGCCGTAAGATCATTGTCGATACCTACGGTGGTTGGGGTGCCCACGGTGGTGGTGCTTTCTCCGGAAAGGATTACTCCAAGGTCGATCGTTCCGCCGCCTACGTTGCGCGCTGGATTGCCAAGTCTCTGGTCCACGCCAAGCTTGCCCGCCGTGCCCTTGTCCAGCTCTCCTACGCCATTGGTGTCGCTGAGCCCCTCTCCATCTTCGTTGAGAGCTACGGTACTTCCTCCAAGACCTCCGACGAGCTGGTCCAGATCATCCGCGACAACTTTGATCTCCGTCCCGGTGTCATCGTGAAGGATCTTGACCTGGCCAAGCCCATCTACTACCAGACCGCCAAGAACGGTCACTTCACCAACCAGGAGTTCTCCTGGGAGTCACCCCGTGCCCTCAAGTTCTAAGCGGGCTCTGCTTAATCCGGTGACTCCGGACAATTTTTGACGACTGTGATGATTTGCTTTGTTTTCAACAACTCAAAGCACGATGAGCATAGACTATAAAAAACCCTCATAAAATCGAGAAGTTGGTTTCCACTAGGAGACCAACTTCTCTTGTTTCATTATCTGCATGGTCGCGCAAATGACGGGCCTTTTCGGCGAAGACAAAATTCAACATGATACCACTTTTCATCGGCTGGGAAAGGAAGTTTTTGGCGTTTTTCTGGAGCGAAAGTCTTCAACACCACCTCTCTACCTCATTGCCCATGGTACCTTCGGGGAGCCTCTGGTCCTGCTTCTACGCTGGATCATGCTCTAACGGTTTCGAGGGAACCTTGATAGCACTCTCTGCGAGAGTCTTTGAGGGTTCTTTTCGTCTTGGTCCTGGG